CACCTACACTCCTCTCGTTTCCAACCCTCTTGATCGCATCAAGAGAACTTTCAACAAGAAATTAAGGACTCTCTCCGACCTCTGTCCTCCTGACTTTGACCTTGTTCAACATTTTCATGTCATCTGTCCCTCTCTTCCCTATTTCTATGGCCTTCCCAAAACTCATAAACCTGATATTCCTTTTCGTCCTATCATATCCTCTAGAGGTTCTGTTTCTTATTCTCTTGCTTCTTGGCTGGCCAAAACCCTCACTCCCTTTCTTGGTACTTTTTTCTCCTGCCCACCTCCGTCACTCTCAAGACTTCACTGAACGGGTTCGCCCTCTCTCCCGACCTGTAAGATGCTTAGTCTGGACGTTGAGTCCCTTTTCACCGATGTCCCTCTTGATGATGTCCTTGATTTTCTTAGAGAGAAGGCCAATGAAGGGTTTCTTCATCTCCCTATACCTATTGATATCTTTCTTGATCTTATCCGCCTCTGTGTGAACTCTAATTCCTTTTCCTTCCAAGGGAAATATTATTCTCAAACCTTCGGTGTGGCTATGGGCTCTCCTCTCTCTCCTGTTCTTGCTAATCTTTACATAGAATACTTCGAGACCATTCTTCTTCCTACCATCGATGTACGCCCTTCACTCTGGCTCCGCTATGTGGATGACATCTTTGCTCTGTGGCCTCATGACTCCAATCTCTTCCAACGTTTTCTTGAAGCTCTTAATAATCTTGCCCCTTCCATTAAGTTTAAAGCTGAATGGGAATCTAATTCCTTGCTTCCTTTCCTTGATGTCCATGTCCACTGCTCAGATACAGGTTTTGCCTTTTCCGTTTACCGCAAACCTATGCACAGTGGCATGTACATTCACTACTTTTCTTATCATGCTTCCTCTGTCAAGGAAAGTGTTCTTATCTCCCTCTCTCTCCGTGCCCTCCGCATCTGTGATCCTCAGTTCCTTCCATCAGAAATTTCCACTCTTCATAATTCATTTTCCCGTCTTGGCTACCCTTCTCATTTCATTGACTCTGCCCTCTCACGTGCTAAACGCAATTTCTTCTCTCCCAAACTCTCTACTCATGAGAACTCTTCTATCCTCTGCCTTCCCTACATTTCCGGTCTTTCTAATCTCAACAACTCTCTCCGTCCCTTAGATATCAAACTTACTTTCCGCCAGACTAACACTCTTCGCACTAATCTCGTTCATACCTCTCCTCCCTCCACAGATGTTCCTGGTGTCTACTCTATTTCTTGCTCCTCCTGTCCTCTTCAATACTTTGGAGAAACCGGTCGATCTCTTTCTGACAGACTTAGGGAGCACAAAAATAGTGTTAGGCTTGCCGACATTAACAATGCTCTTTTCTGTCACGTCCGAGATCACAGTCATCCTATTGACTGGTCTTTTGCTAAAACTGTCTTCCCAACTTCCAACTTTAACAGTCGCCGTCTGGTTGAATCCTCCCTAATACACAACTTTCCTTGTATGAATCTTAGTCTTGGCTTCGTCTCTGTAGATGTCTTCCTCTCCCACTACATTGTAAAATGCTCCAAACTTCACAACACTCGTGACCTAACCTGATTCCTCTTTTTTTTCTTTTTCTCCGTCTTCCCCTTTCCTCTTTACTTTTCTCCTTTGGGTTGTCTTTCTTCTGCCCTGTGTATTTGTTCCTTCTTTATTTATTTGTTTCCCCCCCTCGGTGTTCTTGCTCTTACCCTCTGTGGGCAGCAGCTCCCTTGCAATGCTCCCCTCTCTCAGTATTTGACTGGCCCCTCCTACTCTTACTACCACCACTACTACTACCTTCCCTCCACTACTACTACTACTACTACCACCACCTCCTGCCTATATATATACCCATCCTGCTCTCCTTTTCGTTAGCACGACTTTGTAAATGGTCCAAGTCGGACCGAAACGTTGTCGTAAGCTCCTCTCTTCTATGTGCGGGTTATTTGTGTTTTGTTCCAGTCACGGTATTGTGCCTTTTTTTGTTATTTAATACACAAATAACCCGGGTTATTTGTGTACTGTTATAACAATCTTAACCTCAGCATCTACCCATTCATGTTTTGGAGCACCAACATAACCTAACATCTTTGGCCATCATAAATAACTCCTGCATCTTTTAGACTACAAGACGGACAGAAGCATACTGGGCCACGACAACGTACATAGACTCTAAGATGGACAGACGCCTACTTGGCAGGACTAACAACGTACATCGACTATAAGATGGACAGAAGCATACTCGGCCAGGACTAACAACGTACATCGACTATAAGATGGAGAGAAGCATACTGGGCCAGGACTAACAACGTACATCGACTATAAGATGGAGAGAAGCATACTGGGCCAGGACTAACAACGTACATCGACTATAAGATGGAGAGAAGCATACTGGGCCAGGACTAACAACGTACATCGACTATAAGATGGACAGAAGCATACTAGGCCAGGACTAAAAATGTACATCGACTATAAGATGGACAGAAGCATACTGGGCCAGGACTAACAACGTACATCAACTATAAGATGGACAGAAGCATACTGGGCCAGGACCAACAACGTACACTGGGAATCTGAGTTAACAGTGAACCAAGATCTAAATCAACTAGTTATGAAGACAAGATCAACGAGGACTGCATGGAGAACTGCAGTGAACAGAAGCTTAGGTTGGTAATTGTGCACAATACCAGTCCTGTGACGATCACCGCAAAGCTACCACCGCCCTCGCTCTGACACCTCTACACCCTCGCTCTGACACAGCACATCTACACCCTCGCTCTGACACAGCACATCTACACCCTCGCTCTGACACAGCACATCTACACCCTCGCTCTGACACAGCACATCTACACCCTCGCTCTGACACAGCACATCTACACCCTCGCTCTGACACAGCACATCTACACCCTCGCTCTGACACAGCACATCTACACCCAGGGAACTGGTGAAATGAGCATCAACAGCCTGAGTGAAAATATATTTGCTAGAAGTAACCCACCCTTGTGATGTCTATGGTCACCTGACACCATTCTATCAATGTTTGTACATAAACAAGCTGTGACAGTGACAGTTCAGGATCGGGCAGGGTCAAAGTTAGTGATATAAGCAACAAAAGTAATACTGGTTGTCTTACACTCGCTCCTCTGATCAAATTTCTGACAATTCAAACAATGTACTGATGACGGAAAGTCCTTTCGTCCAAGATTTATGTAGAGGGAAAGTTTTAGCTTGACTTACGAAACAGTAATAACACGATTGTAAACAAACTAGGGTATGGGTGGGGTTAGAACCCATGGCCAGTCGTAGAACTCCAGATCAGTGTGTATGTCACTAGGCCTGGCTGGCCCAGTGGCTTACGCACTGGCCTGGAGTTTTAAGACTCACTTGCCATGGGTTCTAACCCCACCCGTACCCTGGTTTAAAGGCACAGCTAGTGGAATGTGAGGTCCAGTGAATTAGTATTCTGACAACCAACATTCATCTTAATCCTTTAAATCACCACCATTCCAGGAATTTGAAGCCGTATGTCCCCCACACACTCATGCTCCAGCAATCGCTGGGAAATAATGCCACGACAATGGTTCAAATAACGAGTGGCATGCACCATGTCATCAAAATACGAAAGGACACAGACCAGTCTAGATCTAGAAGTCTTCAGCACCAGACTGTCCTTTTAGATCTGGCCGATGTTAGGCCGCAAGAGCTCTTCATCCTGTACCTTTAACTGCTGCTTCAGGTTATCAACTCGTAGCCTGGCCAGAACGTGATCATTCTGGGTACGTGTCTATCTTAAATTCACGCTCAACGGCCACTCAGCAGTAGGTAAAAAACCTTCTTACAAGCACTGACGTTAAGGTATTGACCACCCACTACCGAGCAACTAAATCAATTGACGCCATCAACTGCTTCGTCAGCAAAGGTAATAAATCTACAGCCAAAAGCCTTGTTCATGCTGGGAGGAAACAACCAGCCCAATACTAAGAACATAAACATTAATATTCTTATCAATGCTGAAGAGAGAGAGCCTGACACCGGGATGTCTACAGTCACCCTCTAAAACACGTGTAATCAGGGTCAGGACATCAACAACCAGTTACCAGCAGACTCTGGCTCCGAGTTGCTGTCATTAGCCATGTTGGTGGAGGGATCGTCAGGAGTAGCTTCTCCTGAGGAACCAATATAGGGGAGGTTAGTCTCCCCATAGACCATGTTAAGTGATATGGAAGGAAACGTGAGAACAGAGCAGAAACAACAGACAAACTGGAGACTAATAAAAAAATCACTGTCACTAGTCGACACACGAATGAAACAAGAAATACTAAGTTCCTTTAAAGGAACCACCATCCTTTACCCTGTCTGGAGCACAGCTGCAGGATGGCTCACCCAGAATTAAGAAAGCAAGGCTTAGCAAAACAGCTTATAGAGACGGGAGTGCCACAGGCAACAACACACACAGCCCTACACCAGGCAAGAACACACAGCCCTACACCAATACTCACCACTCCTAAATCTACAGTAATACCTCTGTCACACCTACTAAATGTAGCACATAACGTGACACAAGGTGGTACAGCTGATGATGCAAGCACCTTTGGGGGTTGTGAATAACCTCAGCATAGCAACTGGAGTACAAACATAGCAACAGTGACCTCTTTCATAATACCCCAGAGCAAAATTCAACAAATGATGAAATATCATGACAAGCTAAGCCAGATAAAGGGGATGGGTACTGGGTTCTTAGTGAATCTAAGCCACTCAGACCACAGCAGCATATGAAGGTGAGCCAGTATTTAACGACAGGTGGGCACCTGAGTGGCCCAGGCAACACCACTAGCACTCATTACACAATATCAAAGACTAACGCACAATCACACCTGGGTAACTGGAGCTCATTAAAAGTTTAAAGGGACAAGAGTTTATTAACATACAAATACTAACACCAGCGAGAAGTTAAAGTCAGACAAGCCATTGTGATAAAAGACTGGATGGTGGAGGAAAACGACACAGCTTCAGGAGTATGTATGATAAGATTGACAGGTCCAGAAATCAGAAATAGCGATCACAGTAGCAACAGAATCAGGACCTGGAATGCAGACTGGTTTGAACACTGCCAATGTTGAGTACAGAATCAGGACCTGGAATGCAGACTGGCTTGAACACTGCCAATGTTGAGTACGTATCCTTAACGACACTACTGGTGCGCTATAATCTGGTTTATGACGCCGTGTAAAATATAACTCAAGAATTCCTTTATTAACACTAAGCATGACGGCTTCACAGTCTACACCTGCCAACAATTTCCAAGTTTAAGGTTCACAACTAATTCTTATATCTTACAATGGTAGTTTTCTTACATAATCATCAGGGTTAATTTCTGAAAATTCTTTACTGATCAGAAATCACGTGAGAGTCTTGGTAAAATAAAAGAGTAAAAACCAGACTGTGGCATAATGAAAACCAGACTGTGGCATAATGAAAACCAGACTGTGGCATAATGAAAACCAGACTGAGGCATAATGAAAACCAGACTGAGGCATAATGAAAACCAGACTGTGGCATAATGAAAACCAGACTGTGGCATAATGAAACCAGACTGTGGCATAATGAAAACCAGACTGTGGCATAATGAAAACCAGACTGAGGCATAATGAAAACCAGACTGTGGCATAATGAAAACCAGACTGAGGCATAATGAAAACCAGACTGAGGCATAATGAAAACCAGACTGTGGCATAATGAAAACCAGACTGTGGCATAATGAAAACCAGACTGTGGCATAATGTAAACCAGACTGTGGCATAATGAAAACCCTTCAATGAGAACACTTCACCTGGACCACCAACTTTCTCTCCTATATCAGTTTATCACACTTGAGAAAGTTTGGTATCCAAGTGAAGCTATATAAATATATAGGTTCACCAGTCTGCTATACTGTCTCTATATCAGCTTGAGTTTATAACTTCTGCAATACCACTCACACTGGTGAGAACCTCTCACACTGGTGAACACCTCTCACACTGGTGAGCACCACTCACACTGGTGAACACCTCTCACACTGGTGAACACCTCTCACACTGGTGAACACCTCTCACACTGGTGAGAACCTCTCACACTGGTGAACACCTCTCACACTGGTGAGAACCTCTCACACTGGTGAACACCTCTCACACTGGTGAGAACCTCTCACACTGGTGAACACCTCTCACACTGGTGAACACCTCTCACACTGGTGAGAACCTCTCACACTGGTGAACACCTCTCACACTGGTGAGAAACCTCTCACACTGGTGGAACCTCTCACACTGGTGAACACCTCTCACACTGGTGAACACCTCCACACTGGTCAAACACCTCTCACACTGGTGAGAACCTCTCACACTGGTGAGAACCTCTCACACTGGTCAACACCTCTCACACTGGTGAGAACCTCTCACACTGGTGAACACCTCTCACACTGGTGAACACCTCTCACACTGGTGAACACCTCTCCACTGGTCAAACACCTCTCACACTGGTGAGAACCTCTCACACTGGTGAACACCTCTCACACTGGTGAGAACCTCTCACACTGGTGAGAACCTCTCACACTGGTGAACACCTCTCACACTGGTGAGAACCTCTCACACTGGTGAACACCTCTCACACTGGTGAACACCTCTCACACTGGTGAGCACCTCTCACACTGGTGAGAACCTCTCACACTGGTGAACACCTCTCACACTGGTGAACACCTCTCACACTGGTGAGAACCTCTCACACTGGTCAACACCTCTCACACTGGTGAACACCTCTCACACTGGTGAACGCCTCTCACACTGGTGAGCACCTCTCACACTGGTCAACACCTCTCACACTGGTGAGCACCTCTCACACTGGTCAACACCTCTCACACTGGTGAGAACCTCTCACACTGGTGAACCCTCTCACACTGGTCAACACCTCTCACACTGGTCAACACCTCTCACACTGGTGAGAACCTCTCACACTGGTGAACACCTCTCACACTGGTCAACACCTCTCACACTGGTCAACACCTCTCACACTGGTGAGAACCTCTCACACTGGTGAACACCTCTCACACTGGTGAGAACCTCTCACACTGGTGAACACCTCTCACACTGGTGAGAACCTCTCACACTGGGGAACACCTCTCACACTGGTGAACACCTCTCACACTGGTCAACACCTCTCACACTGGTGAGAACCTCTCACACTGGTGAGAACCTCTCAACATGGTGAGAACTTCACACTGGTGAACACCTCTCACACTGGTGAGAACCTCTCACACTGGTGAGAACCTCTCACACTGGTGAGAACCTCTCACACTGGTGAGAACCTCTCACACTGGTGAACACCTCTCACACTGGTGAGAACCTCTCACACTGGTGAACACCTCTCACACTGGTCAACACCTCTCACACTGGTGAACACCTCTCACAACTGGTCAACACCTCTCACACTGGTGAGAACCTCTCACACTGGTCAACACCTCTCACACTGGTGAACACCTCTCACACTGGTGAACACCTCTCACACTGGGGAACACCTCTCACACTGGTGAACACCTCTCACACTGGTGAGAACCTCTCACACTGGTGAGAACCTCTCACACTGGTGAGAACCTCTCACACTGGTGAGAACCTCTCACACTGGTGAGAACTCTCACACTGGTGAGAACCTCTCACACTGGTGAACACCTCTCACACTGGTCAACACCTCTCACACTGGTGAGAACCTCTCACACTGGTGAGAACCTCTCACACTGGTGAGAACCTCTCACACTGGTGAGAACCTCTCACACTGGTGAACACCTCTCACACTGGTCAACACCTCTCACACTGGTGAGAACCTCTCACACTGGTGAGAACTCTCACACTGGTCAACACTCTCACACATGGTGAGAACCTCTCACACTGGTGAACACCTCTCACACTGGTCAACACCTCTCACCACTGGTGAGAACCTCTCACACTGGTGAACACCTCTCACACTGGTCAACACCTCTCACACTGGTGAGAACCTCTCACACTGGTGAACACCTCTCACACTGGTCAACACCTCTCACACTGGTGAGAACCTCTCACACTGGTGAGAACCTCTCACACTGTGAGAACCTCTCACACTGGTGAGAACCTCTCACCACTGGTCAAACACCTCTCACACTGGTGAGAACCTCTCACACTGGTGAGAACCTCTCACACTGGTGAGAACCTCTCACACTGGTGAGAACCTCTCACACTGGTGAGAACCTCTCACACTGGTGAGAAACCTCTCACACTGGTGAGAACCTCTCACACTGGTGAGAACCTCTCACACTGGTCAACACCTCTCACACTGGTGAGAACCTCTCACACTGGGAGAACCTCTCACACTGAGTGAACACCTCTCACACTGGTGAGAACCTCTCACACTGGTGAACACCTCTCACACTGGTCAACACCTCTCACACTGGTGAGAACCTCTCACACTGGTGAGAACCTCCACACTGGTGAACACCTCTCACACTGGTGAGAACCTCTCACACTGGTGAGAACCTCTCACACTGGTCAACACCTCTCACACTGGTCAACACCTCTCACACTGGTGAGAACCTCTCACACTGGTGAACACCTCTCACACTGGTCAACACTCTCACACTGGTGAGAACCTCTTCACACTGGTGAACACCTCTCACACTGGTGAGAACCTCTCACACTGGTGAACACCTCTCACACTGGTCAACACCTCTCACACTGGTGAGAACCTCTCACACTGGTCAACACCTCTCACACTGGTGAGAACCTCTCACACTGGTGAGAACCTCTCACACTGGTGAACACCTCTCACACTGGTCAACACCTCTCACACTGGTGAGAACCTCTCACACTGGTGGAAACCTCTCACACTGGTGAACACCTCTCACACTGGTGAGAACCTCTCACACTGGTCAACACCTCTCACACTGGTGAGAACCTCTCACACTGGTGAGAACCTCTCACACTGGTGAGAACCTCTCACACTGGTGAACACCTCTCACACTGGTGAGAACCTCTCACACTGGTGAGCACCTCTCACACTGGTGAACACCTCTCACACTGGTGAGACCTCTCACACTGGTGAGAACCTCTCACACTGGTGAAACAACTCCTCACACTGGTGAGAACCTCTCACACTGGTGAGAACCTCTCACACTGGTGAGAACCTCTCACACTGGTGAGAACCTCTCACACTGGTGAGAAACCTCTCACACTGGTGAGAACCTCTCACACTGTGGAACACCTCTCACACTGGTGAGAACTCTCACACTGGTGAACACCTCTCACACTGGTGAACACCTCTCACACTGGTCAACACCTCTCACACTGGTGAGAACCTCTCACACTGGTGAACACCTCTCACACTGGTGAGAACCTCTCACACTGGTGAACACCTCTCACACTGGTGAGAACCTCTCACACTGGTGAACACCTCTCACACTGGTCAACACCTCTCACACTGGTGAGAACCTCTCACACTGGTGAGAACCTCTCACACTGGTCAACACCTCTCACACTGGTGAGAACCTCTCACACTGGTGAGAACCTCTCACACTGGTGAACACCTCTCACACTGGTGAGAACCTCTCACACTGGTGAACACCTCTCACACTGGTCAACACCTCTCACACTGGTGAGAACCTCTCACACTGGTGAGAACCTCTCACACTGGTGAACACCTCTCACACTGGTCAACACCTCTCACACTGGTGAACACCTCTCACACTGGTGAACACCTCTCACACTGGTGAGAACCTCTCACACTGGTGAACACCTCTCACACTGGTGAGAACCTCTCACACTGGTCAACACCTCTCACACTGGTGAGAACCTCTCACACTGGTCAACACCTCTCACACTGGTGAGAACCTCTCACACTGGTGAACACCTCTCACACTGGTGAGAACCTCTCACACTGGTGAGAACCTCTCACACTGGTGAGAACCTCTCACACTGGTGAGAACCTCTCACACTGGTCAACACCTCTCACACTGGTGAGAACTCTCACACACTGGTGAACACCTCTCACACTGGTGAGAACCTCTCACACTGGTGAACACCTCTCACACTGGTGAGAACCTCTCACACTGGTGAGAACCTCTCACACTGGTGAGAACCTCTCACACTGGTCAACACCTCTCACACTGGTGAGAACCTCTCACACTGGTGAACACCTCTCACACTGGTCAACACCTCTCACACTGGTGAGAACCTCTCACACTGGTGAACACCTCTCACACTGGTCAACACCTCTCACACTGGTCAACACCTCTCACACTGGTCAACACCTCTCACACTGGTGAGAACCTCTCACACTGGTCAAACACCTCACACTGGTGAGAACCATCTCACACTGGTGAGAACCTCTCACACTGGTAGAGAACCTCTCACACTGGTGAACACCTCTCACACTGGTGAGAACCTCTCACACTGGTCAACACCTCTCACACTGGTGAGAACCTCTCACACTGGTGAACACCTCTCACACTGGTCAAACACCTCTCACACCTGGTGAGAACCTCTCACACTGGTGAGAACCTCTCACACTGGTGAACACCTCTCACACTGGTCAACACCTCTCACACTGGTGAGAACCTCTCACACTGGTGAGAACCTCTCACACTGGTGAACACCTCTCACACTGGTGAGAACCTCTCACACTGGGAGAACCTCTCACACTGGTCAACACCTCTCACACTGGTGAGAACCTCTCACACTGGTGAGAACCTCTCACACTGGTGAACACCTCTCACACTGGTACAACACCTCTCACAATGGTGAGAACCTCTCACACTGGTGAGAACCTCTCACACTGGTGAGAACCTTCCACACTGGTCAACACCTCTCACACTGGTGAGAACCTCTCACACTGGTGAACACCTCTCACACTGGTGAGAACCTCTCACACATGGTGAGAACCTCTCACACTGGTGAACACCTCTCACA